CCTGCTGCTCCCCTCAGCAGTGTGTTTCAGTCAGTCTGCCTGTTCTGTTCTCCACCCTGTCTCTGGTGAATCCCCTCACCACTCTGCATCTCTGGCCTGTACCCCAGTTCTTGTGTGCATAAATAAATAAATCTTTAAAAAAAATTTTTTTTAAAAGTTGTCAAAATGTAGTTTAATGGACAACTATGAACCAGAGACACACTATGGGGGGGCGGGCGGAGAAAGGAGTGATTAGGGTCAAAATAAGGGGGTTGCAATTGTATGGGGAATATAAAAATAAAATTTTAAAAAATGTAGTTTAATGGTATGTGAAGTATACCTATAAAATAAAAAGATAAATAGCTAAATACATCACAATTCCAAATTACTGGACAATATTGGAGATTAGAGTATATATATATATTTGCTGTCTCACTAAAGATCTTTTATATTTCAGGCGAAATTCTGTTGTCGTGATGTGTAAGAAGGACTTTTTTTTTTTAACGAAATGTATATAATTTTTTTTTAATAATAAATTTTATTTTTCTATTCCCCCATACAATTGCAAACGCCCCATTCTGACCCCAGTCCCTCCCCTCCCGCCCCCACCCCCCAAAAAGTGTCTCTGGTTCATAGTTTTTTGTTGATTTTGATTTTCACTTTCTTATATTCATTTTCCTGGTCCCTTATTTAAGTTTTCTAGATTCCTGCTATGAGTGAGACCATCCGGTATTTTTCTTTTTCTTTTTGGCTTATTTCGCTGAGCATGATCCCTTCCAGCGCCATCCATGTTGCTGCAAATTGCATGTGTTTATCTTTTTTGAATGTTGAGTAATATTCCATGGTGTATATGTACCACATCTTCTTGATCCAGTCATCTATTTTTGGGCATTTGGGCTGTTTCCAAAACTTAGCTATTGTAAATAGTGCTGCTATAAACATAGGGGTGCAGGTGTTCTTTGGAATTGATGTTTCTGTGTCCTTTGGGTAAATACCTAGGAGTGGAATTGCTGGATCATATGGAAGCTCTATGTTTAGTAGGTCCAGAAATCTCCACACAGCTCTCCATAGTGGTTGGACCAGTTTGCACTCCCACCAACAGTGCAGAAGAGTTCCTTTTTCTCCACACCCTCGCCAACATTTGTTGTTGCTAGTTTTTTTAATGTGTGCCATTCTCATTGGTGTAAGATGGTATCTCATGGTAGTTTTGATTTGCATTTCCCTGATTACAAGTGATGTTGAACATTTTTTCATATGCCTGTTGGCCATTTGCATTTCCTCTTCAGAGAAGTTTCTTTTTAGCTCTTCTGCCCATTTTTTGACTGGATTATTTTCTTTGTTGTTGCTGAGTCTCATCAGCTCTTTGCAGATTTTTGTGATCAGTCCTTTATCATTAGTGTTGTGTGCAAAAATGTTCTCCCAGTCGGTGGGGTTTCTCTTTGTTTTTGTTATTGTCTCTTTTGCTGTACAGAAGCTCTTTAATTTGATGTAGTCCCAGCTGTTTATCTTTGCCTTCACTATCACTGCTTTGGGTGATGTGTCTGTAAAGATGTCTTTGATGTGCAAATCCCGTAGTGTTTCACTTATATTTCCTGTAAGAAGGACTTTTAAGGGACCTTTGGGTCTTGCATTTTCTGTCATGTCCTTGTTACTGATATTCCATCATGATGTGTGTGTGCCATGAGTTTTCCAAGCAGTGGTTCATTCATGGTATTGGACTATCTATCACCTTGGTTCATTTGTAAAAATACTATCCTTCTTTAGGTGTATAAACCACTCTTGAATCACTTATGATATAACCTTTGTCTCCTTTGTAAAAAGTAATGAATTTGGACTGAAATGTCCGAAATGGAGTCTACAAACTGGTGACCTGTGGAACCAGATCTGGTGAATAAGTTTCATTGGACTATAATAATTTTTAAAATTTCCAATAAAGGACTTTTATACATTGTAACATGCCTGTGGTATGGCATTCAGAAGGCATAAGGGGGGGGGGGCAATATCTACATTTTACAGGCTTATTAATTCTTATTCCTCTTTTAGTCACCTAGTAACTTTCTTTGAAGACATTCACTTGTGAGTCATTCCAGAGATAGTCCAATACATAAAGCATAATGGTGGTATATACTTTTTTTATTTTAAAGAAAACCAAATAGGGGCCTCCCCAGTGGTGCAGCGGTTGAGCGCTGGGTTGCGAAGCTGCCCTCAGCCTCTGCAGCGCTGGTTTGATCCCCACCCGCCGGGCGAGGGTCCCACATGGCACGCAGACCTCTCCTGCTGCCCGCTGCTCCTCTCAGCAGTGCCCTTCGTCTGTCTGCCTGTTCTGTTCACCGCTCTGGCTCTGGTGAATTCTCTCACCCTCCCGCGCTTTTGACTGTACCCAGTGCTTATATGAATAAATAAATCTTTAAAAAAAAAAAAAAGAACACCAAATAGCTGCAAACCATTTACACTGTTCTGTCTTCTCTTTTTTTTTTTAATTTAATCTATCTTGAATATCATTTTATATTGTATTTAGATCTAGTCTCCTTTGTACCAACTACGTGGTATTCCTTTGTATAGATGTAACCTACTTTCCTTCTTTCTTTTCTCCTTTCCCCTCTATTCTTTCATTCAATATTTTCTTCCCTTTTGTTTCCTCTCTTCCTTTTCCCTTTCAATTAAATAATCTGTTTCTGACAACAGTGTCCTGCTGTGGCAAGAGAATCTTTATCTGAGTTTTAAAGAGTAAGAATTTATACCAGTAACTTTGTTTTAGACGTAGGTTATTTTTACAGAAGTAATTAACTTCCTTAAGTAAGAACATGTTTTTAAATACCTTTTGTTTCTGACTTTCTGAATAGAGTTTTTCAAAGGGGAAAATTATTTGAAGAATAATAGTCTAGAATTAGAATTGCTGGATCAAGAGTTATATGCATTTATGGTTGACACGTTGCAAAATTGCGCACCATAGTAACACTGATTTACATCACCACACCCAACATACTAATGCCCTCTTTCCAACATATTCTGTTACTGACTTATTGACCTTTATTAATCTTATCTGATAAAATGGAAATCTGATTACAGTTATTATTGGCATTTCTCTTACATGTGCGATTGAATGTCATTTTAATGTGTGAGCCTTTTGTTTTTCCTTTCTATCAACATGTTCTTTCAATGTTTTTCTTTTGTGCTCTTAATCTTCACATTGTTTTGTAGGTACTCTTACTATACTAAGAAAAGTAAAATTTTGTGGTAAGACTTATTTTTCTATCTTGTTTTGATGTTTGTTAAAAAAAACTTTGTTTTCAGCAATTTTTAAAATATCGTATATAAAATTTTTTGAGGTGAATTTTGTCTTTAATGATTTTGCCTTATTCAGAAAGAAATTCCTAACCTTAAAACAAACCCTACTTTTTCTTCTAATAATTTATTAGAAATTTTCTATTTTTTCGGTCCCTTCAGCATTTATTTTGATGTGAGAAATGTTTTTCCAGATGACTCTATCAACATTTAGTGAATAATACACATTTTACACAATCATGTGAGATGCCACCTTTTGTTTACTAAATTCCTGTATATATTTGGGTTTATTTCTGTGCTGTAGCTCTGCCCATGTATCAGTACCATTTAAGTGCTTATAGCATTGTAATTCTATGAATTATATAAAACACATATAGCATTGTATGTTTGAGAATATTGTAGGACTTTTAAATGTTTATTCTTATTTTTAGTTATGTTCTTTACAATCATAATACACTTTTATAAACATTATTGGCACTTTAACTGTGCTTACATAATTTTCAAAGGTTAATTTAGGTAGTAATAAAATCATTGTAATGCAGTCTTCTTTTTTTTTAATTTTTTAAGTACCACCTTTTATTTTTTTATTTTTTATTTTATTTTTATATTCCCCATACAATTGCAACCCCCTTATTTTGACCCCAATTCCTCCTTTCCCTGGCCCCCCCACAGAGTGTCTGATTCATAGTTGTTTGTTGATTTTGATTTATTTTTTATTTTTTCTTTCTTATAGTTACTCTTTTTCCCGGTCTCTTATTTAAGTTTTCTAGATTCCTGCTATGAGTGAGACCATCCGGTATTTTTCTTTTTCTTTCTGGCTTATTTTGCTGAGCATGATCCCTTCCAGCGCCATCCATGTTGCTGCAAATTGCATGTGTTTATCTTTTTTGAATGCTGAGTAATATTCCATGGTGTATATGTACCACATCTTCTTGATCCAGTCCTCTATTTTTGGGCATTTGGGTTATTTCCAAAGCTTAGCTATTATAAATAGTGCTGCTATAAACAGAGGGGTGCAGGTGCTCTTTGGAATTGATGTTTCTGTGTCCTTTGGGTAAATACCTAGGCATGGAATTGCTGGATCATATGGAAGTTCTATGTTTAGTAGGTCAAGAAATCTCCACACACCTCTCCATAGTGGTTGGACCAGTTTGCACTCCCACCAGCAGTGCAGGAGAGTTCCTTTTTCTCCACAACCTCACTAACATTTGTTGTTGCTAGTTTTTTTTAATATGTGCCATTCTCACTGGTGTAGTCTTCTTTTTTTAAGACAATAGTTTCCCTCCTTATGCTCCTTGGTAGCAATGAAAATACTCTTTGTCTATTATTTTTTTCTTAAAATATTTTTACAAATGGGATCATTTTCTTTTATCACATAATCAACTGGCTGTTTTTATTGAAGCCTCTGGGTTTCTATATCATTAAAACATCTCTTTTTTGGTGGTAGTTGATAGTTTGTTTTCTTGAATTTTCCAGGTATTCAGTCATCATTTACAAATAATTTCTTTCCTCTTTTCTATTTTTAAATTTCTTTCTTTCTCAAATAATGACATTGACTACCTTCTCTGGAACAGTATTAAGAGTTTTTCTGTACCCTTACATGTTTTGTGAGAGATATACGAAGGAAATGTGTTTGCATCTAATTGTCCTATCTCCTAAGGGTTCCTGTTTCAACTGAGATTTTTTAAAAAATTGCTTACTCTAAACTGTTTATTATCTTTCTTTTCCCTATTTAGGCCCAGATAGCTTTTCTTCAAGGGGAAAGAAAAGGTCAAGAAAATTTGAAGAAAGATCTTGTAAGAAGGATCAAAATGCTGGAGTATGCTCTTAAACAGGAAAGGTAATTCAGTAAGATTGAAGTTAACGTCTTAAATATTGGAATAACTTTTCTGTCATTCCTAAGACAAATTCGGATTTTAATACTTTATACTTTTCAATTCAGGAAATACTATCTGTAATAAATATTTACAAAATGTTAAAATTTAATTTTATTATGAAATTTTAAAAATATTAACCAATACACTGATTTACATGATTTTTAAAAGTTTAGTACCTTCTATTCTGTCCTTTCTTAAGAATCTTATGTACTTTGTGAAACCTCAGTATTGAGTTTTTTAATTAAAAAAACTTTTTTTTAAATTAAGGTAGCATTGGTTTATAACCCCGTATATGACTCAGAGGTATAGGTTCAATATTGGTTTCTTCATGGAATTGAAATCAGTTTTGTAGTTTCAGTGAAGGAAATTTTTACAGTGCTTACTCCCCTTATATATTATCTATTATTACTCCATTTGATATATTTTCCGTAGAAAAGAATTGTTCTGGCAAACTGTTGACAGATTAACTCTTCTTTGAGTTCAAATATTCATATTGCTTCAGAAGTTAATCTTCTGTTTTACCAGTGTTAAGATACTGATGTTGGTTTACAAGTAAAGAATAGTAGGTCATAAATGAAAGTTATGAAGTAGTCATATGCATTAAGCCTATTTTTTAAAAGATGGTCTTTGGATATTTTTGTCAGCAACAATAGACAGTTCTTTGACAGGTGATACTGAAATTCCCTGTTTTGCTTTGTTTTTGTGGAAATTGATGAGTGGACTGTTTGCAAAACAATTGCAAAATAATCCTTAGCAGATGATATGTGTGAATATCAAAAAGATAAACTTTATTAAAACTGTGTTTACCTTCATGTGGGAAATTTAAATGGCAAATGAGATTGAAAACAACTTGCCCTCTTAATGAAAAATGGATGGATCTTTTTATTACTTAACAGCTATATTGGGAAAGTGGGAGAAAACACTTTTTAAAATTTAGTTTTTTATATTTATGCATATAAAAACTGGAGGTGAGGTTGGGGAGCGGGGTGAGAGGATTCACCAGAGACAGTGGGAAGCAGAACAGGCAGATCTCCTGAAATACACTGCCGAGGGGAGTAGCAGGCGAGACAGGAGAGGTCTGCTATGCCATGTGGGTTAGCTCTCTGGCCCAGATAGAATTGCTACTGCAGTGGCTGGTGACAGCTTGATAGCACTGAGACTTTAACCCCTGCGCCACCAAGGAGGACCAGAAAACACTTCTAAAAACATGTAATTGGGAATATTTGAGACTTTAGGCTATATAGATTGTAGGTATAATGAGGGCAACAGAGAAATAATAATAATAACAGCACTGAACTGTTAATTACTGTATATCAGGCCCTGCGACTTAAAAACTAATTTGTGTAGAGTTGCAGAACTGTAGTGAAACTATAAATCATGTTCTTCAGGTCTGCCTTGTGGGATAGCCTGTACTCTTCACCAGTGCATTATGCTATCTTGTAGACAGAAGAGTTGAAATATACCAGTACTAAAGTAATCGGGAATTGTGCATGTGTATCCCTTCAAATGAAACATTCATTAATTTATCCATCCAACTTAAGTACTGAGTATAAACATCATAGACTTGTCCTTAAGGGCTTAGAGAGTTGTGAATAGACTTATAGCAAAAAAAGTACAGTGCAGTCTATAGGTACTTTGGGAGAAGTTCCTACAGGGTGCAGAGAAGTACAAAGTCTATACCAGGCACAAAGTAGGGAGTGGTTATTTCTATCTGGAAAGTGGAAGTACGGTTGTAATTAGAGGGTGTGAGATCTGAAGGGATATCATAAAGAACAAGGTGTTTGCTAGAGGCAAGATTCAGGAAAAAGGTGATAATGTTTGACATGGAGCAAAACAAACTAATAGAAGTTACATGAACTATAAAGCTTTTATCCAGATTTACCTATTTGCTGTATTTACCATTACCATGCTTGCTTTCTGTACATTGATACATATTTTTCCCCCTGAATTGTTACTTCATTGCAGACATTATGCATCTTTGCCCCTTAATATCTGATACATATTTTCTAAGAGCAAGGACATTCTCTTATATAATTATATAACTCATTATCAAATTAAAGAAATTCAATTTTGATATAGTTGTGTTATATAAAATAACCAATATTGATACGATCCCATAATGATTTTATAACATTTTTTTCCCACCAAATGTGCCAATAATAATCACCATAGTGGGCCTCTCTGGTGGCCTAGGGTTAAGTCTGGGCACTATCACCACTGTGCTGAGGTCAATCCCCTGTCAGAGAGCTGACCCACAAAGCGCAGCAGACCTCTTATATCTCCTATTGCTCACCTCAGCAGTGTATTTCAGTAAATCTGCCTGATCTGCTCCCCACTCTGTCTCTGGTAAATCCTCTCACCCCTTCCCACACCTCTGGCCTACAACCCAATTCTTCTACACAATAAATAAATCAATAAAAATAAATAAATAAATAAATAAATAAATAAATAAATAAATGTCATAGTATTTATTTTTTCTGGTTGAGATCCAGTCTAGGAATACTTTTCTTTGTCATGCAGTTAAGATAGTTTTAGTATAGAATAATGTGAAATAGATTTTAGATAGATCACCCTGACCTTAAATACTGGGAGGTGGGGGGGCCAACTGGTAAGACCTGTTAATAGAGACGAGAAGATTATAATACATGGTTCAGAATGAGCAGTAATAACATAATAGCTGCCGGAATAGAGAAGGTATCAGTTAGGAAACTTTTTTTTTTTTTAAGATTTATTTTTGTTTGTTTATTTATTTATACAAGCATGGGTACAGTCAGAAGCGCAGGAGGGTGAGAGAATTCACCAGAGCCAGAGTGGGGAGCAGAGCAGGCAGAAGGACCGAACTACACTGCTGAGGGGCGCAGTGGGTGGCAGGAGAGGTCTGTGCGCCATGTGGGACCCTCCTCCTGTGGCCGGGGAGCAGCCTGGGATTGAACCGGTGCTGCAGAAGCTGCGGGCAGCTTCGCAACCCAGCGCTTAACCGCTGCGCCACCGGTGAGGCCCAGGAAACATTTTTTTTTAAAGATTTATTTATTTATTATTTATACAAGCACTGGGTACAGTCAGAAGCGCGGGAGGGTGAGAGAATTCACCAGAGCCAGAGTGGGGAGCAGAGCAGGCAGAAGGACCAAAGTACACTGCTGAGGAGAGCAGCGGGCGGCAGGACCCTGGGGAGGCCCCCAGGAAACATTTTTAAATTAAAAAAAAAAAAAAATGATGATTGTGAGTAGGTTGTGAGGATTGGTTTCCAGATTTCTGACTTGAGTTAAAAGTGAGAATCAAATGAATGGAAGAATTAGAGGACGAAAGGCAACTGTAGAAGTGGGGAGGACTCATGAGTAGAGATGTATATTTGAGAATCCTCGGTATTGGTAGTGAAGTTACAGAAGCCATTCACAGCAAGTGTTGTGGGAAGAGAGGAGAACACCGGCAGGAGCCACAGGAGATGTTTGAGGAGAAGGCAGAGGAAGACGAGCCAACAAAGGAATAGTTGAGAAGGAAGAAGAGAGCAGTGTATTGGAAGAAGGTGGGAGTTTGACAGTTGCAGATGCCAAGCAGACTACAAATAAATTGTGTACTGAAAATAGTCATTTCGTTTGCCAGTTAGGAGCTTGTTGGTATTCTTGCCAAAACAGCTTCAGTGAGGTAACAGGGACATAAAACAGATCACAAGGCATTGAGTAGTGGGAAGGAATAGATAAAGTGGAGAGAGCCCCCCCTTCCGTCCCTCCCCCCAAGCAGTTTGACTTGAAAAAACAGAAGCGATAAAGAACTAAGTCTAGCAATTATTTTTTTTTAATGAGATTCTCCTGTAAAAAAAAAAAAAAGTTCTTGATTTTCTATCTTTTGATATGCCTGGAATGATTGGAATTCATTGCTGATATAAAGCCACTATTTAAATATAATAAATTAAAGAATATAAAAGCATTTCTTTGTGAGTTAGAGCTCTAAAACATTTCAGTTTTTTCTCTGAATTTGTTTTTCTGCCTTAAAATAGGAATTTAAAAAATTTCATATTTATTGAAGAGGATTTGAAACTCTTATCTTTCATATACACCCCCAAAACTTCAACAGTTTTTGTCAGTCTTGCTTCATTTTGATCTATTTTTGAGCAAATTCTAGACATCTTGTCATTTAATCTGTAAACAAACACCTAAGTAAGGATAATGGTTTTGAAATGCTGTGTAACAGCCTTTATTAGTAGTCCCAATTAAGAAGCTCAAAAATTAAGTAAAATCGAATCTTTAACAATACAAAAGGGTGGGTCTCCCTAGTGGCACAGGGGGTTAAGATGCAACCTATGAAGCTATCCGCAGCCTCTGCAGCACCGGTTCAAATCCCAGGCCAGGGAGCTACCCACGGGGCGCAGCAGACCTTGCCTGTCTGGTCCACTGCTCCCCTCAGCAGTGTATTTCAGTCAATCTGCCTGTTCTGTTCTCTACTCTGTGAATAGACTGTGAATCCTCTTACCCCTCTGCACCTCTGGCCTGTACCCCAGTTCTGGTATGCATAAATAAATAAATCTTTTAAAAAAATACAAAAGATTACTCACCTAGCAATGGATTTATCAAAGCATTCCTTAAAAAATACAAAATGAGCATATTGGCATACAATTTTCCAAGAATAAACAGTTTATAATCTGCGGCTTATTTAAGAACTTTTACACTGAAGAACCAAAATAATATGTAAAATATAATTCTGAGAAATTTCTTCCACTCCCCCCTTGCGCAAAGCTATCCATTTCTCTCTTATCTGCATTACTGTAGTAACTCTTCCTCAGCTCTGGTATTTCTGTATTCTAACTTACCTGCTATGTCTAATGGATTATGTTCTAAAATACAGATGTTCCATACCTGATTTAAAATCTGACTAATTTCAGAGATGTTATTAAAACCTTACCATCAAGCCCCCCCCCCTTTTAAAGATTTATTTATTTATTTATTTATTTATTTATTTATACAAGGACTGGGTACAGTCAGAAGAGCGGGACGGTGAGAGAATTCACCAGAGCCAGAGTGGGGAGCAGAGCAGGCAGAAGGACCGAAGTACACTGCTGAGGGGAGCAGCGGGCGGCAGGAGAGGTCTGCGCACCATGCGGGACCCTCCTCCAGTGGCCGGGGAGCAGCTGGGGATTGAACCGGCTCTGCAGAGGTTGCGGGCAGCTTTGCAACCCAGCTCTCAACCGCTGTGCCACTAAGGAGGCCCTCAAGCCCCTTTCTACACACACACACAAACACACACACACACACACACACACACACACACACCGTTTTTTTGACATTTTGACACATTGTTAATATTTTCTACTCTTTTAAAGGTGTTCCTCCCTGCAGGAAAACCTTTTCCTTAGTCCTTTACTCCTATTGAAAAACTATTTTTTTTCAGGTTTAGCTAAAATCTTTTAGTAACTACCTTTTTGGTAGTTCTCCTAGTCACCACCTATGATTGAATTAGGTCATTCCTTATCTGAATTCCTACATTTATTTCTGTATATTCCTATATAGCTCTCATAACAGTGTTCCATAATTATTTACATTTTTATTTCTTGTATTTTCTTGCCTCTACATTTAACTGACTACAAGCTGCAGGTTATTCCTAGCATCCAGTACAGTGCCTGGCATGTGTTAAGAATTCAGTAACAGTTCATTGAACTTAATTGAATATTTTTAGCATCAGCATTTACTCATTTTTAAAGATTTTATTTATTTATGCATAGAACTGGGGTGTAGGCCAGAGTGGGGGGTGAGAGGTTTCACCAGAGACAGAGAAGGGAGCAGAACAGGCAGATCTACTGAAACACACTGCCGTGGGGGAGACAGGAGAGGTCTGCTGTGCTATATTGGGTTAGCTCTGTGGCCAGGATCCAGCTCAGGCCATCGTGAGCCCTTGAGGTGATAGCACTAAGACTTAACCCCTACATTACTAGGGAGGCCCTAGCATCAGCATTTGAAGTGTGATAGGGATGCTATGTATATTCCTTGTATATTGCATTAAGTAATAATAGACATTGAAACAAAGCTGTAATGGGACTCACTAATATGTTTGTTGAAAGTTTTTTTAAAGTGTATGTATATTTAAATATTTTATTTTTTCCTTTATAGGAAACTATAATTACATACATATTGAATCCCATTGCTTATGAGTATAACAGTTTCTAGTCCTACTTTACCTTTTTTTTTAAACTGAGGTAATATCGGGCTGCACCTATCAGGTATTACCACCATAGTGCGCTCACCATCAACTTGCCCAGATTCCACTACTATGGACCAATGTGCTTCTTTCCCTCTTTGTACTCTCCCCTCCCCTTTTTTGTCCCTCCCACCTTGGTGTTTCAGTTCTCCAGTCAGCTATCAGGGGTTAGTTTTTCAGCTTGTCTTTATCAAACTGTTAATTTAGGTACTGTATATTCCACATACTGGTGACACAACCCTGTATTTTATCTTTCTCCTTCTGACTTAGAATTATCTTTGCACGCTTCATCCAGGTTTTTATGCTCTTTATCCAGTAAGGCCAGGTTGGAGGCCTATCAACATTGAGTTGTTAGATATGAAATCTGCTTGTTTATCTTAGTCAGATTTATTTAGAAAGATGACTAGGGAACAAGACTGGGGAATAACAGTGGTTATTGAAATTAGTCTGAGTTTTCTGTTGGAGTTAATTTTCATCAACTATATTTTCTTAGGAAATTTTACATTTCCTCTAACTTCATATTTATGTAAGTCTTCAAAATAAACTCCTTTTTATATGTTTTAAAAAAAGAAAGCATGGTAACAGAGATGAAGTAGAAACGATATGGATGGTCTTTTAGCATATTGACTTCAAAAGGAACATTAAGTTGAGCTAGAATTGTGAGTAAATTATTTTTTCAACAAATTTAACAATGTAGTAGAGAGATCCTGACTTAAGGCAACACAACTTGTGGTAAACATAGCAGTTCTTTATTAGCTTTTGTCTAATCTTTTAATGAAATGTTCATAGTGTATTATTACTTTGTTAAATATATAGACTATATTCCCTTTTTTGTAAGGTCTGTTGCAGTTTTTCCTAGCACCACTAGAAAGCACTATAGTGAAGTATTTTGTGTTTGGAAATGCTTTCCTTTATATATAAACATAAATACAAATTAACTCCATAAAATTTCATTGCAACTTTTATTCCATCCTCAGGCTAGTTACTTTCAGTTGCTATTTTGACTTCCAGGACATATTGTTCCTTTGCATATGGTAGAGGAAGTTAGGCTGCTGAAAAATCTTAACAGTTACATTAAGAATTTTGCTGTCTCTCTGGTGACTGTAAGTGAGATTAATGGGTACAAATCGTACTTTCTAATAATCAATATTATTACAATTACATTGAAATAGACTAGGAAATGCAGCCTGATGATGAAATCCTTGTCTTTAAGAGAAGCATTGGGAATAGAGAAAAAGATGTTCTAGGTTATTTGCAACAAATGGATTTACTAAAAATACTTTTTAATAGAAATGTGTACATGTAGTTAGTTCAATACCAAAAAATAGTCTCCCTTCTCCCTCAGTTCACTGATTTTCTTTCCCAAAGACAATCTTATTAACTGGTGTTACATGTATTGTGTATCCTTACAGAAATGTTTTATACATCTGAAACATATATAGAAGACTTATTATAAAACATACATAGAGGACTATATAACTCATACACACATACATAACATATGAACCATAGTATTTTTTCCTTTTTTTGTTTTTACTCAAGCTTAGAGAGCAATACTTATTAGCACATAATCTTTTTTCTTTTTAATGGGTACATGTTATTATAAAACATTACATACATATAAAAAAGGTACAAAGACTGTTATTAAAAATACCACCAACTACCTTGAAGAAATAGGACATCAGGTGTGTATAATTTTCATGTTTTTTTATTTCTCTATATAAATTTTGATTTTTTTCTCTTGTTACTGTAAAATAATTATTACTACCAAAATGTGAATTCCAGTACTTTACACAGTGATTTAAGTTATTTTCATTTCCTTTATACCTTAAAATTATATAGTAAGTGCTCAGTTAATTTTTTATACAGGATAAAAATGACTCAAATTTGGCTATTACCCTTTCATTCCTTCTTTACACTTTGATTTTTATTATTTTCCCAGTCTTATTACATTGACTATTTATTGTAAATGGCTTCAATATTTTTGAGAAGCAAACAAGTCAAAATATACAAATACATTAAGTGTGACCATATTTCGTTAATCCTTATATTCTTTACCTTTTCTGATTTATTTTTCTGGTTAAATCTGAGATGATTAGATTGGTTAACCAGACATAATAACATTTTTAGCTTTTAAAAGAAGATAGACAAAAATTCTTTCTGAATTCTTTTGGAAAAAGCAAAAAATGTTTTGACTATTTAAAAATATATATGTGTGTGTGTATATATATATATATATATATGTATACACGTATATATTTCTGTTGGATTATCTTACTCATCATTGGTGATTTAGTCTGTTCCTCCTCCTCCCACCTTCCTTTGTATTTTTCACTGTAATGCATACTTTAAAATTTCAATTGCCTTATAAGATACAGACTATTATAGATGACTTTTTTAAAACTCAGTTTTGAGAACGCTCAGATTTTACAAGTTTATTTCACAATCCAAACTTTTTTAGTGCTTTCAAACAATAGAATTCTATTCTGGAAGTCATCATGAAAATTTGAATTCCACAGAAACTAGATTGTTAGATTGCTCATTTGTAGTTACAGAGAGGATATTATGGTTCCCAGTGGTGTTGGTTATAATGGCCTTTGAAGGTGTAACAACAAAATAATAATGGCAAATACTTTTGTATTACAACTTTGACGCAGTGGAAGGCTATGATTCTTGGCCAGTGAGCCAAGGTACTGCATTTTGATCACTACTATTACTGTAGTTCTTAAAGTTTGTTTAAATATATTTTAAGTTGGTTTGTATTTTCTCATTTCTTTGTTAGAGCCAAATACCACAAGTTGAAATATGGAACAGAATTGAATCAGGGAGATATGAAGCCTCCAAGCTATGATTCTGGTAAGCTAATTTTAAAGGACTTTAATTAAAAAGAAATTAATGCCTAATATTTTGTAGCAACATTTATAATTGCAAAGTAATTTATCATTGTTTACATTATCAGTTTTTTTTTCTATTCTACTTATCTTTTGGCTCTAATTGTTTGGTGTCATTAAGATCATTTTCTACATCTTTCGTTCCTTCTCCCTCTTCTTTAGTTCACCATTTTTGGTTTATGTTCTAGGTTTATGTTTATGTTTTTTGTTTTTGTTTATGTTTTGTTTATGTTCTATTATGTTTATGTTCTATATACATAGAAGTCACTTACTAGTAGGTATAATGGAAAAGTAAGAAAGTTGTTTAAAAGTTAAGTCATCTGTCAGGTGCATGTGTTTCTGAAATAATTTCAAATTAAATTCCTGCGTCAAATATCTGAAAATATTATCATTTATATCATTTAGTAAATACCTGCCTTGTAGGGTCTTCATGTATATTAAATGTAATTGCTAAAATAGTTACTCAGTAGAGATAATATTATTGTTATTTTTCCTATCTGAAATTTACACTGAGAAGTTGGCAAACTTGCCCCAGGTCACACATCTGTTAAGTAATGGGAATATGGATCTGAACTCAGGTCTAGCTGACTTCAAAATTCATATACTTCCCATTTTGCCACAGTGCATTTGTATATGACAGTCCATGAAAAACTTATAAAATTAGTTCTACATGTTCTGCCAGTTTTTTTTTTTAAGATTTATTTATTTATGCACACAAGAACTGGGGTACAGGCCAGAGGTGCGGGGGATGAGAGGATTCACCAGAGAGAGTGGGGAACAGAACAGGCAGACCGACTGAAATACACTGCTGAGGGGAGCAGCTGGTGAGTCAGGAGAGGTCTGCTGCGCCATGTGGGTATCTCCCTGGCCGGGGATCGAGCTCACGCTGCAGTGGCTGTGGATAGCTTCATAGGTTGTGTCTTAACCCCTTGTGCCACCAGGGAGGCCCCAAAATGTTTTAAATAAACAGTGTGGCTCACTAGAAAGAGTTTGGGTTTTGAAATCAGATATATTTGTTTGCCCATACACTTAAACCACCTGTAATATTACTTAATCTGTTTTAGGTTGTTTCCTTAGGTAATTAATAGACTGGAAAAATATTTGGAATAGACAGGAATAATAAAATAGTTAGGAATAATTCCTAACTATCAAGTTTATTCTCTTCAGTACCTAGTATCATCCCATCCGGCAGTCTTTCCAACTATCCATTTATTTTATAATATTAAATATTTAATATCTGACTGCTTGTCAGATCTAGTCCTAAATTGGGTGAATAAGATAACACTGCCCTACTTTTTTACAGGAAAGATAAGGAAAAGTAAAATGAATGGAGCAATAATAGGTGTTTTGGAGCATAGTAGTGGGGATACTCAATCTAGTCTTAAGTGGGTAAGAAATGCCTATTGCAATAATGTATAATACTGACATCCAAAAAACAAGAAGAATTAGTGAGGAGAAGTGGACTAATTATTTGTTGAGTGAGAGGTGGGAGAAAAGCAGGGTATTGTTTGTAAAGTTTCTGAGGTAAGAATATGTCATATTTAAGAAAGGAAATAATGGATAATAGTAGGAGGGAGGAAAGATGTGTTTCTGGATGCAGCTACAGAGCTAGCCAAGGGTTCAGATGGTGAAACACATTATAAAATACTTGTAAAATATAGTAGTAGTTCACACTGTATCCTAGGAGTTACGAGAAGGCATTTGAAGTATCTTCACCAGGAATTTTGTCATCAGATTTGCTCTTAGGTTACAATGATAGCAATAACTCCCAACACTTTTAGAACAGGGGCCTACCTGGTGGCGCAAGGGGTTAAGTGTCAGCACTATGAAGCTATCTGCAGCTACTACAGCACGAGTTCGATTCCCAGCCAGGGAGTTACCCACATGGCGCAGCATATCTCTCCTGTCTCACCTGCTGCTCCCCTCAGCAATGTATTTCAGTCAGTCTGCCTGTTCTGCTCCCCATTCTGTCTCTGGTGAATCCTCTCACCCTCCCGCACCTCTGACCTACACCCCACCTCTTGTATGCATAAATAAATGAATCTTTAAAAAAAGTATCACAGAATCATATAGAAGGTACCTTTTGATTTTAGCTTTATTCTGATGTAGCATAATGCCTTTGAGATACCTGGGTGTATAGTTCATTCTTTGCTCTTGTTGAGTAGCCTTACATGACCGCATCTGCCACACTTTGGTTACATCACTGGCTGTCACAGTAGGCAAAGACAATTGAGTACACCTATCTGAGAATGGTATGGAAAGGATTTAGGTCTATTTTGGTGGGAAATTAGCTGACTCAGAAATCCTTTCATGTCTAAAATTTTCAGTTCTTTTCAATTCAAGTGTAAATGTTTTTACTTGGCAAGTGTGTGTTACTCTCTTGACACACTATTATAGATAGACATAGTTTCTGATTTTTAATGGTTCACTAAAAACAAGATATATCATTTTTTCCCTTGGTATGAGAGCATTGCTTTTGCTTTTTTTTTTTTAATGGTTTAAAATTTATTCTTTTTATATAATTATTACTGTTTTTTAGTTGAGGTAACATTGTGGCACTCTTCGAAGTCATCCCAGAGTATTCCATTTTGAATTACCCTCATCTTCTTCCTCTGTGCCCCCCAGCCCGCCGCCCCTCACCCCAGGTGCTTTTTAATATATCACAGAGCTTAACCTAGTTATTTTAGGAAAAAAATGAAAATGCAAGATACAATTTTATTTTTGTCACAGATGTATAATTTCTCCTCATTATAGTGATAGCATGTAGAGGAAAATATGGAGTCAAACAGATAAGATCCAATACTTTGTAGTCAACTCCTCACCTGACAACCACTCATGTGTTTTCTGTTCCTATTATTTTGCCTTTTAAAGAAAGTCATATAAATTCCAGAATCATACAGAATATATTTCTAACTATTTATAATTTACAAACCTTTCATTTAATCTCTAATATTTGTCTTTAGAATAGGGATAGAAATATTTCCTTCTAAAGTTGTGAAGATTACGAGAGATAATGTGTATATGTTTTAATATAGCATCTGAAACAGTAAATGTTTAATATCAGATATCTTAAAAACAAGTTTTCCAGTCTAGTGTATTTCCTCACTTGAAAAAAATCCTATAAAGATCGTTTTCTTATAGTTTGCTCAAGGGCTGATAAAAATGTGAACTGTTGGGCCTCCCTGGTGGCGCAGCGGTTGAGCGCTGGGTTGCGAAGCTGTCCGCAGCCTCTGCAGCGCTGGTTCGTTCCCCGGCTGCTCCCCGGCCACCGGAGGAGGGTCCCACGTGGCACACGGACCTCTCCTGCTGCCCGCTGCGCCCCTCAGCAGTGTACTTCGGTCCTTCTGCCTGCTCTGCTTCCCGCTCTGGCTCTGGTGAATTCTCTCACCCTCCCGTGCTTCTGACTGTACCCAGTGCTTGTATAAATAAATAAATAAATTTTTAGGGAAAAAAGAAAAGTGAACTGTTTTCTAATTCAACCACGGTGTTGTTTGAAAATTCTTTTAGTTCAGACTTAAAGAGGAAACTCTTTATTTTGCCACCTTCTTGAAAGAATTCTGCTTCTACCACATGATGAATTTAAGCTTTACAAGGTATAGAAGGTTTTTTAGTTAAGACTTAAGGAGAAAACTCTTTACCACCTTCTTGAAAGAATTCAGCTTCTATCAGATGATGAATTTAACCTTTACAAGGTATAGAAGGTTTTCATTCAGAGATTATTTTTAAAAGAATACTGTGGTTGTCATGTAATAAACTACTAAAGCAAATAGATTTGTTTGAGAATATTTCTTATTTACTACTTATCAAAGTAATTTTTCTACCATCATTCTTAGGTATTTTGTTCTAGTCTGATGTGGTGTTTCATAATACTTTGTTTCATTTTATTCACAATTTATGAGTTAATTTGGATAGGTCTTTGTCTTGGAGAAGGGCTGCCTGAAGATTAGCAAAATATCTTTAGTTTTGTTACTCTCAGAGGGATGTAATAGCATTAATCAATTTATATTAGAGTTCCACTATGGAAATTAGACTTGAAAACAGAATTTGTTATCCTAAAACATTAATAAGAGTGCAATTTTACATATTCTTAATTTTACAAATTTTCATTGGCTTTTTGTCAATGGAGATGCCCTATAATGTAAAATCCAAACCAGTTTTATTATGATTTTATGTTTTCCAGATGAAGGTAATGAAACAGAGGTGCAGCCACAACAAAACAGCCAATTAATGTGGAAACAAGGTCGACAGCTACTCAGGCAGTGAGTATCCTGTGGTCAAATTAAAGAGCAAAAAAGCAAATTGTCATGAGATTATTTTTATTTTGTATTTTCAACTCAGAATAATTTTATCTCATTATTATACTGCTAATGTGAAAAACGTAACTGAATTACTGTTTTGTTTTCATAGTATATAGTTTTTCCCTTTGTGGTGGAATTTATTTTTCATAAATATTAATAAGAATGTCCATAATTTCGGCTTCATCAAAAGAATACAATTTCACACTTTTGAATTATATTGTACACTTAAATTTATAGTTAAAAGAATTTGATACCTTTAGGGCCTCCCCGGTGGCACAGCGGTTGAGCACTGGGTTGCGAAGCTGCCTGCAGCCTCTGCAGCGCCGGTTCCATCCCCGGCTGCTCCCCAGCCACCAGAGGAGGGTCCCACATGGCACGCAGACCTCTCCTGCCGCCCGCTGCTCCCCTCAGCAGTGTACTTCGGTCCTTCTGCCTGCTCTGCTCTCCGCTCTGGCTCTGGTGAATTCTCTCACCCTCCCGCGCTTCTGACTGTACCCAGTGCATGTATAAACAAAACAAACAAATGAATAAATAAATAAATAAATAAAACATGCCTCTATTAAAAAAAAAAAAAATTAAAAAAAAAAAAGAATTTGATACCTTTAAAGTTACTCTTGTAATTGGATATATGTGTTTTAATACAAGTCTAATCAGTAGTTATATGTAATTCTGTGTTAGTTTTTAAACTATTTAAAATAGATTGAAAAACTTGAACTTCTCAAGTTTGCAGATATCACATGAACATACACTTTCTCCTATAAAAAGTGTATTTGAGGGGCCTCCCCTGGTGGCACAACAGTTGAGTGCTGGGCTGCGAGGCTGCCCGTGGCCTCTGCAGCGCCAATTCGATCCCCAGCAACCGGCGAGGGTCCCACATGGCGCAACAGACCTCTCCTGCCATGCCTGCTGCTCTCCTCAGCAGTGTGTTTCATCACTCTGCCTGTTCTGCTCTCGCTCTGTCTCTGGTGAATTCTCTCACCTTCCTGCACTTCTGGCTGTACCCAGTGCTCATATAAATAAATAAATAAATCCTTTAAAAACAAACAAACAAATAAATAAATAAAATAAAAAACTTTAAAAAATAAAAAGTGTATTTGAGGCTATAAAGAGGAAACAAAGTTGTGTTGAAGTTCAGATGTCAGGTGGTGGACTAGATTCATTCACCTACTTGATACCTGGCTCTTGCATATGACCTTTGAAACTCATATTCAGATTTGTGCTCAGTAAGATGAAATTTACTACCTATTTTGTACTTTTTGAGTGGCTTGTAAATAATCTCAATTTAGGATTTCCAAACGTGATGCATGCCAACCATTCTTTTTGTCAATGGTAGAGAATATTTAAAACATACCTCTTGTCTACATCAAGTGAGAAAAATTTGAGACTTCATTAATATTTAATAAGCGGGTTTTCACTAGTGCCCTCACGTTAGTCTTAAATATGACTTTTGCATTTTCCTTTTATAAATGTGTTATCTTTTTGTTAATTAGAAAGTTATTATAGTAATACAAGACATATTTTGAAAAACCTTAAGACTCATAATCTGCCCCTCAATCTAAAGATAATATTTTACCAGTCAATAAGAAAGTAAGCATTTAGTTAACTTAACTATGGAAAGAGCAGTTTTTTTTTTTTAAAGGATTTATTTTATTTATTTATGCATACAAGAGCTGGGGTATAGGCCAGAGGTGTGGGGGGTGAGAGGATTCACCAGAGACAGAGTGGAGAGCAGATCAGGCGGATCTACTGAAATACACTGCTGAGGGGAGCAGCTGGCAAGCCAGAAGAGGTCTGCTGCACCATGTGGGTTAGCTCCCTGGCCAGGGATTGAACTCATGCCGTAGTGGCCACTGTAGCGTGATAGTGCTGTGACTTTAAACCCTGTGCCACTGGTAAGGCCCCAGGAAAGAACAATTTTTAAAAGTTATTTGTAATGTGATTTTGTTATCCAAGTGATGCATGTGTCAAATATTGTTTGTTAAATAAATATAATACCTTTGTGCTAGTTTGTAAGTACAACTGGTTAAGTTTGGGAAAGTTACAAATTCATTTTCCAGGTCCTCCCTGGTGGTGCAATGGGTTGAGCAAAGCGCTGTGACGCTGTCAGCAGCCTCCACAGTGTGGGTTCGATTCCCGGCCAGCCAGGGAGATTCCCAGATGGCGCCGCAGACCTCTCCTGTCGCGCCCACTGCTCCCCTCAGCAGTGCTTTCAGTCTGCCTGTTCTGCTCCCCACTCAGTCTCTGGTGAATCCTCTCACCCTCCCGCCCCTCTGGCCTGTACCCCAGCTATTGTGTAAATAAAAATTTAAAAAGTTAAAAAAAAAAATTCATTTTCCAAATTTTCATCAAAACCTCTCTAGATATATTGGATAGGATTGAAAATGAACAGCTTGAATTGATAGGATACACTTATCCCATTTTTGTCACATATCTTTGTGAATATCTTTTTGAGTTATAGTAACTAGTAATACCAGGTGTTTAAATAAATTGACCTTAGACTGGCTGTTTTGTCCACTTTTTTTTTCTCTTTCATGTCATAGACTTGACACCAACTATGAGTTAATGCCTCATTTTCGTCTGTCATGTTTATTATTGATGTTATTAGTGAAATGAATCTTTTTCATGTTTCTGCTGCTACTACGCTTCATCTTTTTTGTCATCTGCTAGTAGATATCGAGTGCCTTCTATATGCCTGTCTCTCTTAGGAGAAAGAAAACTGAGGTTTGGGAGAATTAAAAGTTATAAAGGAAGGAAGTTGAAGAAATGGGCTTTAGAAACACCACTAACTCTCAGTACGAGCCTATGCTCCCCACCCCACTTTGTGTTCCTGACTCTGTAACACACACATTCATCCACCATCCCACAACTGAATTTAGGTCTTCTTTAATTTTAGAATTGTCTCAGGATAGAAGATTTTCTTCTGTAAAAGTGACTCTTTAAAATAGTTTATCTTATATGTCATAAAGAAAACCATATATGCTATAAACATTCTCTCTAGATCTCAAATAGTTGATTCAGTGACACATAGAAATGTAAAAAAGATTAACTGAAAGTAATAATTGCTATTATAAAGTAATAATTCAGCAGAATCTGAGAGTGGGTTTGCTCAAACCTAATGAGAAAAAAGAATAGCTAGTAGGTAAATTAAGGAACAACTTCCTCTTATGATAAATGTAATGAATGGTGTATTGTATAGTTCTTTGATTTTTTTTTCAGTGACTGTAGCGACTGGTACCACAAGAGACAGCTCCATCTGCAGCTGGAAGATTATTTATTAGCAAATCTAACTAGCATAGTAATGTACTGTTAAATTTTATGCATGCAACAAATTTAAAGAAATACTTCTATTAAGTTATTGGAATACTGATTCCAATATGACTGCATTATAAGATGGATTCTCTTCATACACAGATATCTACAGGAGGTGGGTTACACAGATACCATTCTAGATGTGAAATCTAAACGAGTGCGAGCTTTGTTGGGCTTTTCAAGTGATGTCACTGACAGGGAAGATGACAAAAATCAGGACTCAGTTATAAATGGCACAGAGGCTGAAGTTAAAGAGACCGCAATGATAGGGTAAGTGTTTTGTTTGGAAAATATTTTAGCTGTAATTTTAGTTATATATTTTTGATTTGTGATATTGGTACTTTCAGATACTGAGCAGAAGTAATTATAATAAAGCTTAGCTTAATAAAAAATGAAAAATTTGGTAGAAGGTAACACATAGGGTTTAGAGTTATTTATGATTATTTGTAAAATTTTTCTACTTAAAATATTTTCATTTGCTTGTAATTTATGGATTAATATTTTAATATCTTAAAGTTATTTATTCTTAGGACTTCATTAAAGATCTTATTTAGAAATAAAATTCAAAGCAATTGGAATGAAATTTCTTTCTTGGAGACCTAGAGTTCACAAAATTCTCAAATTCTTTAGGACCCTCAAATTCTTTAGGAGTAAAACCTTTTCTTAACTACTTTTGTTATCTACTAATGCTATAACTCATCTTTCCTTTGAAAACATCTATTTCTAGTATTTACTTTAGAAAGAATATGTGAAAAATTCAATAGCTGTTTGGAATATTTTGTTTTGCTTTTTGGATCATGTATCATATAAATTATATGTAATTCTGCTCCAAATGTACATGAACATTTAAATGAGATTCTTTATTAAAAACTAAAATGACTTGATTCTTAAGGAAATTAAAAAACCAAAGGTTCTGTGAAAGTCTAAATAGGATGTTACTTTATTTTAATGCATATTTAGGTTGGAAGGAGGGTTTTAATAGACTTTTATATCTATTACATTTTACCTAAAAAATTATTGCAAATACTTTCAGAAAATAGTACTCCAGTTATCTTGGTCTTCACTTATCTTTTGAAACTGGACAAAGATATTTTTCTGTCTGGTTTGTGTAGGTAGAGATGGAATACAAAGTATTAGAAATCAAAATCATAGCTCTCAGCAGATTTAGAATTTAAGATTTATCTTTTTTAAAAGTTTGCCCATTGTTGTGGCTAAGTTTTTTCAGTAAAATATCTTCTTATCTGAAATATTTCCTAATTAACTGGAGAGAAAACTTCTGTTTTGACCGTTAGGAAATTATTACTGTATTTATTTTGAGGACACTAAATTCAAGTCATGTATTTGAAATTTAGTAATTTCCAAAACGTTGTTGGTTTACTCAGTAGCATGATCATATGTTAATTTGTTAACTATTTTGCTTTTAGTAACTTTATGCATACATTTGCTTTTTTCAACTCCAGCTGTTTAATAGAAATAAGAGATTGCATCAGAGGAAAAAGAAGCCATATTTCCTAGTTATTTTCTCAGTTGTGGAAACTTCTGTTAGAAGAGTTGCGGAGAGGGAAATGGAAGCAGAAATAATAGAATTTTTTTAAAAGAGATATATGTTAAGATTGACTTAATTAGGAGGGGAAATTCTTTATGTTAGATTATCATTAAAAAAAACAATAACTATGTGCTATATTGCTTTTCCAGTTAAAATCCATGGAAATGTTATGGTAAGAGTCACTGTAGATCATGATGATTTGAGGGATCAGAGTTAAAATTTTAATAGTAGCACAACATGTCATGGACTAATTTCTTACATTGAATTTAAAAAATTAACAAAATGAAAATGTTTTAAACCAGAAAATCCGAGTTAACAGATTCTGCCTCTGTGCTGGATAATTTCAAATTCCTTGAAGCTGCAGCTGCAGATTTCAGTGATGAAGATGAAGATGATGACATTGATGGAAGAGAGAAAAACATTATTGATACTTCAACAGTGAGTTGGATAACTCAGATATAAGTATTTTTAGGGACCAGTAGGCATATTTTTAAAATAATCTATGTTGTTTAATGTAAACATATAATTTTTTTTTCCATGAATTTGGGAAAATTTAATCTAAAAGAATTTTCAGTATTGATTTTAATTCAAGAATATTTTTAGTATAGCAGCTTTCTCTTAAAGGTCCTTACTCTTTGACTATTTATTAATTCATTAAACATTTCAACATTTCTATAGGGCTGGTGATTATGGTAAATGTGTGTGTTATAACAATGCAGTGTTACTGGTTGCTACAGGACAATAGAACAGACAGACCCATTGTGGTACTTGATGGTGACTGGCATCAAGTTTCATTGATGCAGTTTTTGTCTTCAAGACTGCTTTGGAAGAAAAGTTTTATATCCTTTCAGAAATCTTGTATTAGATGTTTTCAGCTTATTTAGAGCTTTATAAATTTATTGACTTCACCATGCTGATTTCTTGGGACGAGAAATGTCTCTAAATAGCTATTTCTTCTTTCTCTTCCTTCACCATTTTATCTTCTCCCCTTTTATTCCTTCTTTTCTCTCTCCCTACTCTTTCCCCTTTCTCCTACTTTCTCTCTCTTCTTTGTTCTCCTTTTTAAAAGTAAGAGATGAAGGCTTACTTTACTTTATTCTAAGAAAATGTTCACATTTCCTCTTTCACATTTAAGAAGGGAGAGGGGGAAATTAAGGTAATATGGACAAGACCTAAAAGTAACAGCCTTAGATTAAAGTCCCAGTTCTGTCATTAATTATCTGTACTTCTTACTCCTTCCAGTTTAGTTTTTCAGTTTGTAAAATGTGTATTATAATAAATACCCATATTATCTTCAGAGGATTTTATGAGGAACAAATGAGACATTATATGTGAAATTATATTTTTAGCTATGAACTACTTTTTTTTATTTAAATTTTATTTTTATATTCCCCATACAATTACAACCCTCTGATTTTGACCCCAATCCCTCCTTTCCCCGCCCCCCATACCCTATAGAGTGTCTCTGGTTCATGGTTGTTTGTTGATTTTGATATTTTCTTTCTTATAGTTATTCTTTTTCCTGGTCCCTTATTTAAGTTTTCTAGATTCCTGCTATGAGTGAGACCATCCGGTATTTTCCTTTTTCTTTCTGGCTTATTTTGCTGAGCATGATCCCTTCCAGCACCATCCATGTTGCTGCAGATGGCATGTGTTTATCTTTTTTTGAATGCTGAGTAATATTCCATGGTGTATATGTACCACATCTTCTTGATCCAGTCATCTATTTTTGGGCATTTGGGTTGTTTCCAAAGCTTAGCTATTGTAAATAGTGCTGCTATAAACAGAGGGGTGCAGGTGCTCTTTGGAATTGATGTTTCTGTGTCCTTTGGGTAAATACCTAGGAGTGGAATTGCTGGATCATATGGAAGCTCTATGTTTAGTAGGTCCAGAAATCTCCACACAGCTCTCCACAGTGGTTGGACCAGTTTGCACTCCCACCAACAGTGCAGAAGAGTTCCTTTTTCTCCACACCCTCGCCAACATTTGTTGTTGCTAGTTTTTTTAATATGTGCCATTCTCACTGGTGTAAGATGGTATCTCATGGTAGTTTTGATTTGCATTTCCCTGATTACAAGTGATGTTGAACATTTTTCATATGTCTGTTGGCCATTTGCATTTCCTCTTCAGAGAAGTTTCTTTTTAGCTCTTCTGCCCATTTTTTGACTGGATTATTTCTTTGTTGTTGTTGAGTCTCATCAGCTCTTTGCAGATTTTTGTGATCAGTCCTTTATCATTAGTGTTGTGTGCAAAAATGTTCTCCCAGTTGGTGGGGTTTCTCTTTGTTTTTGTTATTGTCTCTTTTGCTGTGCAGAAGCTCTTTAATTTGATGTATTCCCAGCTGTTTATCTTTGCCTTCACTATCACTGCTTTGGGTGATGTGTCTGTAAAGATGTCTTTGATGTGCAAATCACGTAGTGTTTCGCCTATATTTCCTTCTATATATTTTATGGTTTCAGGTCTTATGTCTAGTTCTTTAATCCATTTTGAGTTGATTTTTGTGTATGGTGTGAGGTAGTGGTCAAGCTTCATTCTTTTGCATGTAGCGACCCAGTTTTCCCAGCACCATTTATTGAACAAACTTTCTTTGCTCCAATGCACAGTCTTTGCTCCTTTGTCAAAGATTAGTTGACCATAAATCTGTGGGTTTATTTCTGGATTTTCTATTCGATTCCATTGGTCTGTATGTCTGTTCTTGTTCCAATACCATGCAGTTTTGATGATTATGGCTTTGTAGTAGAGTTTGAAGTCTGGGAGTGTGATGCCTCCATTCCCTTCTTTTTTTTTTCAGGAGAGCTTTGGCTATTCGGGGTTTTTGGTGATTCCATATGAATTTCATCAATAATTGTTCTATTTCTTTGAAGAATGACATTGAAATTTTGATTGGAATAGCATTGAATCTGTATATTGCTTTTGGAAGGATGGCCATTTTAATAATGTTTATTCTTCCAATCCATGAGCAGGGGATGTCTTTCCATTTCTTTGTGTCTTCTTCTATTTCTTTTAACAGTGTTTTATAGTTTTCTTTGTATAGGTCCTTTACCTCTTTTGTTAGATTTATTCCCAAATATTTGATTTTTTTGTTTCAATAAAAAAAGGGATGGTTTTTTTGATTTCTTCTTCTTCAGATTTATTGTTTGTGTATAGGAAGGCTACTGACTTTTGCGTGTTGATTTTGTATCCTGCTACTTTACTGAACTGATTGATGAGTTGAATTAGTTTTTCTGTGGACTTTTTGGGGTTCTCTATGTATATTATCATATCATCTGCAAATAGTGATAGTTTGACTTCTTCTTTTCCTATTTGGATTCCTTGTATGTCTTTCTCTTGTCTTATTGCTCTGGCTAGGACTTCCAGTATTATATTGAAAAGCAGTGGTGAGAGTGGACATCCTTGTCTTGTTCCAGATCTTAATGGAATTGCTTTCAGCTTTTCACCATTGAGAATGATACTGGCTGTTGGCTTGTCATAGATGGCCTTTATGAGGTTGAGGTATGTTCCTTGTATCCCAAGAATTTCAAGGGCTTTTATCATGAATGGGTGTTGCACTTTGTCAAAAGCTTTCTCAGCATCTATTGATATTATCATATGGTTTTTATATTTCTTTTTGTTGATGTGTTGGATAACGTTGATTGATTTTCGGATGTTAAACCATCCTTGTGTCCCTGGAATGAATCCTACTTGGTCGTGGTGAATTATCTTATGGACACATTGTTGGATTCTGATAGCTAAAATTTTATTGAGGATTTTTGCATCAGTGTTGATTAGGGAGATTGGCCTGTAGTTTTCCTTTTTTGTGTTGTCCTTGTTCGGTTTTGGTATTAGTGTAATGTTGGCTTCATAGAACGTGTTTGGTATTGTCCCTTCCTTCTCAATTTTTTGGAAGAGTTTGTGAAGGATAGGCACTAATTCGTCTCTGAATGTTTGGTAGAATTCATTTGTAAATCCATCAGGTCCTGGGCTTTTGTTTTTGGGGAGGTTTTTGATTACCATTTCAATTTCGCTGCTTGTAATTGGTCTGTTTAGGTGTTCTATTTCTTCTTTATCTAGTTTTGGGTGATTGTAGAGTTGTAGGAATTTGTCCATCTCCTCTAGATTGTTAAACTTGTTTCCATATAACTGTTCATAGTAGTTATTAATTATTCTTTTGATTTCTGCTGTGTCCATTGTGATTTCTCCTCTTTCATTTATTATCCTATTTATTTGTGCTTTCTCCCTTTTTGCCCTTGTGAGCCTGGCTAGGGGTTTATCTATTTTATTTATTTTTTCGAAGAACCAGCTCTTGGTTTCATTGATCTTTTGGATTGTTTTTTTAGTTTCAATTTCATTTATTTCTGCTTTGGTTTTATTATTTCTTTTCTTCTACTGTTTTGGGTTTTTTTGTTGTTCTTTTTCTAGATCTTTGAGCTTCGAGATTAGGTTGTTTCTTTGAGTTCTTTCTTGTTTCTTGATGTGAGCTTCTATTGCTATATATTTTCCTCTTATTACTGCTTTTGCTGCATCCCATACATTTAGGATATTGGTGTCCTCCTTGTCGTTCAATTCAAAGAATTTTTAAATTTCTTCTTTGATTTCCTCATTAGTCCAGTGGTCTTCCAGTAGTGTGGTTTTTAATCTCCATGAGGTAGGAAAGTTCCTTGCCTTCTTTTTATGGTTTATTTCTAGTTTGATGCCTTCATGGTCAGAAAAGATGGTTGATATGATTTCAATCTTGGTGTATCTGTTGATGTTCGTCTTGTGCCCCAGTATGTGATCGATCCTGGAGAATGATCCGTGTGCGCTTGAGAAAAATGTGTACTCCGTTTTTTTGGGGTTTAGTGTTCTATAGATGTCTGTTAAGCCCAATTGCTCTAGGTCCTTATTTAGAGCTTTGGTTTCTTTACTTATTTTTTGTCTTGTTGATCTATCCATTGTTGATAGTGGTGTGTTGAAGTCTCCCACTACGTATGTGTTTTCTCTGATGTCTGTTTTCAGAGAGGACAACAGTTGTCTGATATATTTTGGTGCTCCTTCGTTTGGTGAGTATATGTTAATGAGTGTTATTTCTTCTTGAAGTATTGTCCCCTTAATCATAATGTAGTGACCATTGGGGTCTCTTTTTATCTTTTTGAGTTTGAAGTCTGTTTTATCTGATATAAGTATAGCTGTTCCTGCTTTCTTTTTTGGCCCATTTGCTTGTAGGATTGTTTTCCATCCTTTAACTTTGAGCCTATTTTTATCTTTTGTAGCTAAATGTGTTTCCTGGAGACAGCAAAAGGTTGGTTTTGTTTCTTAATCCAGGCTGCAACTCTGTGTCTTTTTATTGAAGAGTTTAGTCCATTTACATTTAGAGTTAATATTGATATGTTAGCATCTGTATTTGCCATTGTGTTTGTCTTTCCTTTGATTTTATTTATTTATTCTTTTAATAACTTTTTTTTTTTTTTGGCCTTCTTTCA